TTTAATATGGATTAGTTAAGACGGTTAACTTTAGCGCATGAATACCAATTACACAAAGCTCTGTCACAACCCCTCACCAGCAGCGATAGCTGAGGCCTTGCTATCTCATTTTACCGCCCCGATTCATTCCAGTCCGGGAGGAGCTTGTAACTGTGCAGGTTCTAGTATTTAGCCAGTGTTCGCAGAGCTTACATGGGGCCAAACCGCATAAGGGTGAATCACAGAATCCAGTATTCCCAATTGTTGCGTCTACTTAGTACAAAAAAAAATACAGAATTTCTATGTATACTAAAGCATTTCAGCTCATTCTTAAGTGATAAAGCACGTATCCTAACAATAAAATATTAAAAAAAATTACTTAAATCATATAAATTGCTCTCAACTTGAATCACGCCATCATAAAGAAGTCCAAAAGTGCTATTTTACTGACGCAAGTTATCGCTGCTGGATATGAGATTTAAATTTGCTACGATAAAAAGTAACAAATCCACAAATCAATTTGAATAGAATGAGAAGTGCAGATAAACCACATTAAGCATTTTAAAGCTTTCTAAGTTGCTAACCACACAAACATACATACATATGTGATATGTACACATACTATATATATATATATATATATCCTGCAAAAATCGTTGAACCATGTGGTATATTTTTGTGGCATATTGCAGTGCTTACAAAGTGCTCCTCTGTAATGCTGTAGCGGACCAACTCGTTTCTCTACACCAGCTTATTGTTACCCGATCACTGCTCGTGTTTTAACGATGTTTATTGGGTTGTGTTGTCAAGAGGTAGGTATTCCAAGGAGTAATCCCTTGGAGTAGTTTTTTGCTACTCTGATGTAATGCAGAGCTGGAGGACATCGCAATGTTAATTTGACCACATTTTTTATATCCATTGCGGTTGATTTCGGAGTACTCCTTGACCCTTAGAGAGTACTCTCTATACATGCGCGCGGGGAGCAGACGCGTTTTTGCCTTTATCCTGCAATTGTATTTCTTTACCCACCCATGCACACAGCGAAGTATCCGCAATGTAAGCAATGATTTAGCGGTATCTGCACATTACCACACTGAATCGTTGCTTGAATTTCGAATTTAATAACAAAAGATTCATCTCACGCTTGCGCAAGCATGCATACAAGAGTGCGCGCCAACACCCACACACACACACACACACAGATGAAACATCACTTGCACACATCTATCAGCAGTGTTGCCAGAAAATATTGAGGCTTATAGCTAAATTCTTCGAAAAGAATATCTAAAAAAATTGATTTCATAGCCAAACAAAATAGCTTAAAATATTTTTCTTCAAAACCAGCTTAATAAATTAAATAAATATAGATACGAACTTAAATATTTGCATACATTGAATTGGAGTAATAAAATACCTTATAATTGTGACTAGTAAATATTATTAAAATTTTAGCTCAAATCTGCAAATCTATTCCTAAAATATAAAAATGTGTTTGGTTTAGTTAAGATATTACAATATTTAAGGGAAAACGTTGTGAGCAAAACTAGACGGTTGATTATAATTACCATATAATACCACCGTGTGACAGTTAATTTCACACACAAATAAATCAATATATATTTATGGGCCAAATATAGGAAGAATTCAGTATTTTTTAAATGACTTTGAAATTTGCAAAATAAATTATTTCAAAAGCTTATTTTAAAAGCTCAATGCAATGTAAGAAACCGGTAGGGGCATCAAAAAATCTATAGATCTAAGGCAGATTAAATTTGGTGCTTAAGGAGAAGAAAGTATTGAAAATAGATATTAAGGACCACATTCTTGAATTTGTTCCTCCCAACTTTATCAGCTTAAAAAAATAAAATTAATAAAAAGAGCATTTGCAATACCCGTTCGCGCTCGTAAACCAATTTTTTTTTTTTAATCCACAAAATTTTCTCTTTCATTTGCTACCCATATTGCCATTCCACATTGCACTGAATTTTTTAAATATTTTTTTAAGTAACCATATCTTTGAAATTATAGGGTCCGTAAAATAAACCTGACGTAAGAAAAAAAAAAAAACCACGAACACATTTTTACCATAGTTTCGAAAGTATATTGATTGCTTAGTGTGTTTAAAAAATTTTTTTTTGTTTTTGTCGCACGATGTACTCGATATAGCAAAGAGGGATTAGGCAGGCCGGAATATCAATTTTTGTACTCTTGTAAAAATGATGAAATTATAAAATAAAATAGCTAAAATAGCTAACTCGATTTTAAAAGAAGCTAAAAAATAGCTAAACGTCGAAAATAATAGCTAAATGTAGCTACAAAATAACTAAACTGGCAACACTGTCTATCAGTGAACTACACAAAGTTCTCGTTGCAAACGCCATTGTTTTGCTCTTCCGCTCCGTCGCTTGCTGACTTTCTTCTCACCTACCAAAAAGCCAACCAACCAATATTACCTTCCTTCGCCGCCATGTAGCGTTGCAAAGCTGCTTCTTCCTCACCGCCGCTCCTACGCGAACTTCACACGCGGAACTCATGACTTTTGAATTAGCAAAGTGTGCACTTTTCGCGCCAAACTCAATTCGCTTGCCAATATCTGCGCGAGCAAATATATATTGGTACGTTTGGCTCAACTTTTAAGCGCATCAATTTCGTATTACAACTTAACGCTGCTACTTCTATTTAAGCGCTTTTGTACTTAGTTACTTACACATACTCGTATATATGCATACAGACATACAGACCAAAACCATTTATTTATGTGTAACTTTTTGTGTGTTTTTGCCTACTTTCAGGCTGGTACGAGGACAATTGGTACGAAGTGAACTTGGAAAATGAGGGCATTACATGCACCAAGGAGCAAATGCGCATCGCCGCCGAAGGACATCTTACAACGGAAGCGCTTATGTGGAATCAGAACAATCAAACGACAATTTCCGGCATGACAGCTGAGGAATTTCGGTAAGTTTTCGCCAATTGACAATGGCACAAAAAGTTTAATATTCACTGAGTAGCAGAAATGCTTTGTGTGAGAATTTTAAGGTATTTTGGTTGTATCACAAAAGTGCTAAAAATTCAAAACTTGAATCTGTCATTTTCTAATTTTTTATTTTTTTTTTTTTTGCTACTCGTATTTCCCACCCCGCGCAGGCAACGACTGAATCATGCACTCATCGAAGAAGGTTACGACATCAATCACGATCGCTATCCGGAGGGCTATCAGGAGGCGCCGCTGGCCTACGACGCTGTCTGGAGTGTGGCACTAGCATTCAATAAGACAATGGAACGCCTGAAGCAACGACAGAAATCGTTACGCGATTTCACCTATACGGACAAGGAAATTGCCGATGAAATTTATGCAGCCATGAATTCTACACAATTCCTTGGCATATCGGTAAGTGTGTTTGTGTTAGTGTTAGAGGATGTGGCATATGAGGAGTGTGCAGCTGCGGCAAGTGAAAATAAATCAATTCAGCTTGCGGGCAACATTCAAAGCTCTTTGCATACTTCAGTCAGGGCAGGTGCAAAATGTAATGTTCTGAGTGGTATATAAGTACATACATATGTATGAATACAGACGTTAAAGTCTACACTTTGATGTTATTTTCATTGCCAACGTTTGCATTGGCTTACTGGAAGTGGCTCCACAGGCAATGTTTGGTTTTACTTACTTGTATGTAGTTTTTTAGATAAATCCTATTTGAGCAAAGTTGGCTTAAGGCACTCTCTCTCGAGAGAAAAAAAAATCAATCAAAAGTTCGAGTGCCTAGAAAATGTACAGCTAAAGGTGTTGGATTGAATTAAAGACGATTGGGTTAATTCGCAAGCATAAGAGTTTTGAGTTATATGAAAGAGCTTAAGATTCCAGGAGCTTTTGCAAAAAAAAAAACTGGCGACACAAGTACTCAGTACCTCTCTTTCCAATACGAGTACGAATCGGAATAAAAATACGAATAAGGATAAAGATTGCTTTTAGAAACTTACCCAACGCTTTTCCGAAAAAAAAGCTATAAATTTCAGTAATGAGAGCAGATCTCGGTCATATATTGAGCTGGTATCACACAAATATACGAAAATGAGTAAACACAATTTTCTCATACGAAGAGAATTTTCAATGGCCATTCACCAGGCAGTGGTCAAAATCGATTATTTTGCATCTGCTTCAAGCAGCTCCACCTACAGGTAGCAAGCGTAGTTCTTCATATTCTTAAGGTAAAAGCGTCGCAATTATAGTATTTAATTTTAATTTGTGGCTGGTCGAGGACCAATTGCATAGCGTTATGTGGTGGTGGTGGTGATGTAAAAGAATATTCGAGTGTTTGGAATCTCTAGTGAATTTAACGGAGTGATTCTGGCTAAGAAAAATGACAAGATAGTTTGAAAGACTTTTGCTATTCCAATACAAAACTCTTAGAAAAACAGTTATCTCATTCACCACTCCTAGAATGCTATTTTGAGAGAAAGTACTTGCATATCATTTAGCTCTCGTCACTCCAATAGTCACAATGGCCGAGTGTACAAAGCACCGGCGTTCCATTAAAAAGGTCCGAGGACGATTTTAGTTTTTTTCCCCCTTTTTAAATAAATTAGTTAATTATAAGACTTTATAGCCCTAAAAAGTAAAATAATTATTTAGTTAATTCAATTAAATTTTTAAAGAACTTATTTTATTTAATTTTTTTAGGATTTTATGGTTTTAAAAACAACAATTTCTTCTTTTTTTTTTATTTAAAAAATTTTATAAACGTATATTATTTTTTTTTTTCAATTTAATTTTCTTTTGGTTGTTTTAAAAAGAAACCTACATATATTTCCTTATTTCATTTAATTTGTGTGATTAATAAAATTTTTTCTTCTTTTCACTATATTTCTTTTAATTGTTAGTTTGGTTTAAAAATAAAAATATATATTTTTCTTTTATTTAAATTTGTTCATTAAATTTATATTACCCTTTATCTTCTTTTTTCATAATTGTTTCTTCTTTCTCCAGTTTTAGGAGAAATAATTATTTTTACATGGCTAATATATGTTCTAAATTTGAATCGAACTGTAACAACATTTTTAAAGATATCTCAACTCCAGCGACACCGATCGGGACAATTTTTAAAGAAAATTATTTATATTTATTTAGGTAACACATGTTCTGAATTTAAATCAAATCGAATTTTATATACGGGGTTTTGGAGTTATCTCGAGTCCGAGTCCAGCGCCACCTATCGGCCAATTTTCAAACGAAATATTTATTTTTTTGTGTGGACAATACATGTTTTTGATTTAAATCAGCTAATTCTTAGATGATGCAGATTTTGTGGTGTATCCGCAGATGAAAGAATAGGTCGAAAGAGCTCTCCTTACCACATTTCCGTTGGTATGACCTCGTTAGAGAAAAAGAAGCATTGTTTGCATTTCAAGGTCACAACCAGCTCCTGTTCTGTTTCTAGTTTTTTTTTTTTGCTTTCGAATGCATAGCACTCTTATAGTGTATGTAGGTTTGAAAATTTAGAAACACTAAATGGAATCTCTATGTGTGCATCCAATAACGTTTCTTTGCCTATTAGGAAAGGAAGCTGATGTCTTAAAAGCCTTATCTTCCGAAGCAATAAAATTACAATTTTTCAGTGTTTTTTTAGTAAAATTGATTTACTATGCATACTTACACAGGACTTTGCAAAGAATCACAAAACCAAGTTGCAAAATGAAGTTACAAATGAAAGGCCATGTAATATACGACTAATTGCAATTTGGGAAAATTGCCGAAAATTACAGAAGTCACATAAAGGAGTTTTCAAAATTGACACAGCCATAAGAGCATGCATGCATACATATGTATGTATGTATACATACACACATGTATTTACTCGTAGGTATTTACGCTTTGCAAATGTAAAAGGAATATGGAAATACCAACAACTTATAATTTCCTATATTTACTCTTCGGCACATTTGCAAATGTACCAAAACTATGCTACTTGCCACATCAAAGTGCACACTTATGCTTATAAATGTTTGTGTGCCTATTCATATAACGACCCAACAACAACTTCTAACTTTGTAAGCTGGGCTTTTCGTATGGAAATTTGCAAAACTATAAATTAATTTGACTACTAAAGACGAAGAAATTTTTGAGAATTAATTTGTGGCTTTTCAGCAATTGAGTGCTTGGACGACAAAGCACACATATGTATGTACATATGCATTTATTTAATATTGAAGAGAATGTTTGCATGGGGATTTTTGTCAATATTTACCCATAAATTTTAATTAAATGTAAAAAGGAAAATACAGAGCCCTAAAATATTTTGTATGTGAATATGCTGGCAAAATCGAGCAATGGAGGAGATGGTGTAAAGTATTGAACGATTTTCTCTTAGAAAACAAAAAAAACACTAAATTCAATAAATTCAATGGACTCTAACAAATCATAAGGTTTTCATTATATCTACACATTTTCTATTTTCATTAGCCAACTAAGTAATAACTTTTCCCTTAATTTTAGCTCTGCACGCTCCTCTCTGCCTGCTATATCGACAATTGAACCACACAAAGGATTACATTATTACTACATTCAAAGGCATAGTTATGCTTTCACAGCACATTAAGTGCCTAATGAATTAAAAAGTTTAGCTTTCTAGGCAATTTATATGCGGAGAGGCCCGAGAGGAAATATAGATAGTAAAAATATCAATTAAATTAAGATAAAAGCGGAAAAAAGAAAGAGTGTTGTCAATTTTAGCGATAAAGATCACAATTAATGAGTGACATTAGAGCAAGAAAAAAATTGTTATCGCAGCATTTATGTAAGTTCCAAAGGCGGACGGTTGGCAACAAATTTTAATTTACCCACTTAATTGTATGAATGCCCAATTCGTAACCTGCGAGCATTAAGTCTAATATTTAATCTTTCTTTGCTATTCATTCTTCTTCCATGTACATATGTAAGTGAATAAATATGTATGTACATATGTACAAGTAGATATGTATGTATATACATTGGGGTGGTCCAAAATAAGCAAAGTCGAAATTTTAATACACACTCACCCCTAGAATTATTCTATATCGAAAAAAATTTGCCCCGATATTTATACCCGCGCGCACTAGTGTACACGGGTATATTAAATTTTTTCACATAACGGTTGTTTGTAACAGCCAAATCGAATCGAGTTAGATATAGACAAATGTATACATAAATGCTCAGAATTAAAAGAGAAGTCGATTAAGCCATGTCTGTATCCGTCCGTCCGTCCAATTGTCCGTGTACACGATAACTCGAGCAAAAATTAAGATAACGGTATTTTCGAAAAATGCGAAAAAAATTACATTTCAATAAATATTTGATCCAAATTGTTGAAAATTAGTGTGTGAAGTAGAGTTTTGGTAAGATATAATACTATTATGCAATTGTTGGAAAATGGGCGTGACCCCGCCCACTTATGATGAAATGCTTCACCAATCCTTACCAAACTCGGTACGAACCTTGCCTAGGGTCCGACTAATATATATATGTTCAAATTCTTTGAAATCGGCAATAACCTAGGTGCGCGTGGTATAACGATAATTTACAGAAACAGGAAAATGGCGATAAATCAGTAACAACTGAAGCTAATTGGTGACAGGTAACAAGATCAACGGAAATAAAGTCAATTGACATTATCACCTATTCAAAAGCGAAATAAAATCCATTGGCATTATTGCTCTTTCAAACATTAAATTTTCGTAGCTTAGCGGCGACCCGTGTCCGCGCGCCACACCGCGTCCGGCCCCGCCGAAAAATAGGGGTTTATATTTTTTCTGGGAGAATAATCCAATGTACTTTTTCACATGGATTTTTGGAACACCCTAATAAATATACACAAAACAAACAAACAAATTATATGTCAATTTGCCTGCCCACCTCTGCCACAAAACATTTGCAAATTAGATACTCTGTGTCTTTTGCCTTTTATAAAACTTTGTTTGCTTCACAACAACAACAACAACAACAACAACACTTACGACTTTATTGAGTGCTTCACATTTTTCGATTTACGTCTTGCGCAATGTTAATTTATTATTACACTTATACAGATAGCGCCTAATAGTCAGTTGTTGCGAAAAACTTTGACAGCGCAAAGTCTCGACTTTTGTGGTTTACCGAAAAACTTTTACGGCGCTTATCGGTTGAATGTCAGATGGTTTTTGGAAATTTCATTTCTTATGAAAAGCATAGCCAAATTGACGTTGGTATTAGTGGGAAACTTAGTTGTTATTTGAAGGTAATTTATGTACGAAAGGTGAAAGAAAGTTGATACAAATTTTTCCGAAATAAAGAAAAGACGAACGAAGGTAGCCGCAAAGCACTTTAACAGAGTATTTTTGTCAACTAAACAGCAAATCTTCTAGTCGAATTCTACTACAGTAACGTACATATTCTGCATAGGAGTTGATGCGTTCTTGAATAGCTCGGCTGGAAGTCCATCCGCTCCAGCAGCTATGTTATTTTTCAGCAACGTAATCGCTATTCGTAACTCGATAGGTGTAATTTCTCTAACTTCTAACTAGTAGTGGAGCTAAGTGAAATCCCTTTCCATCATGGAATTGAATTTTGAATAGCGACTATCAAATGTTTTCATATTTTTGAATATCGCACAATTTTTGCTTAACATTCTGGATAAGAGAACTGCCAAAGTGGAGAAAAAATTCATCTCATAGCTGTGCTGTATCAGTGCTGCACTTTTTTTTGCATTCCCCTAATTTTTTGCTCTTTTCGCTCAAACAAACTTTTCGTAACCAACCAAGCGCTGCAGTTAAAAGCAAGAAAAATGCTCGCCTCAGCACCATCAGCACACCCTATGGGTATCGTACATCAGCTGCAACATGGGTTGGTATGAACATATGTATGTACATGGCATTGCAGTGGCGCCACAGCAAACTGCTGCAAGTCCTTTGCGCTCTTTAAACAAAAAGTTACTGCAGCTATTAAGAAGAAAAAACTATAGTTTCAACAAGTAACACACACATAGACATTATCAAATTCATATGCACATTTGTATAAACTCGCAGCATTTTGTGTGCTGCCCTCGCTGCAGCAGCCAAACGTTCAACAATGCGTAAATACACAAGTGAGAACATTTTTTGTGCCTGCGTGAATTGCACACTCGCACGCCATACAGGAGGCCGGTGCTGCAACTCTTAACTGGCTACATGTGAATGTACATAAGTTAGGGCGGGTAAATTTTTATTTACTATGCGCGTATGGCATAACTAGAATAATTCTGAAATTTGAAGAAAAATATAAGTGCAGAAATGGACTCCGCATAACAAAAAAAACCCTTATAGCACGTTTTTATAAAAAAAAAAATTTAAGCACTAATTTACGACACTACGGCGAAATGCAACGCAACCTATTTTCGTAGTTTAGTAAACTGCAAATTGATTTTAGACTTACGGTTTCTTCGGCAAATTTGCTTAGAATTACACGTAGAATCCTTCCGCTCTATACGCTCATAGTCGAACAAAACTACCATACAAATTGACCCACCCTAATGTAACCGCTTCACTGCCAAGAACATTTACAAAAAGCGGCATCTGTATTTTGAGCTGCTTAACATAGTAACGCGTTTGTACAACATCCAGCACTCCTGCGGGAGCTGATTGCCGCCTGGCATATGTCAACGTTTTTTTTCCTCAATTCCCGCTACTACTTATTTTACTATTTTATTAGAGCGCCCCTTTGGTGCTCTGTCAATTCACAGTGGCAGCGTCACAGGCATGCCTGGATATGCTCGCTGTTGTAGCAGTCATCCACTAGTTAGTTGGTTGGTTGCTGTTGCCAGTGGTTACAGAGTATCGTTGCCTTGCTAGTCAAAGCTGATGCCGCCGTTGCCGTGGCTGTGGCTGCGGTTGCTGAAAATGCGGAAATGCGTAGAAAATTCTGCAGCATTTACTCTATGGGGTACCACAGTGAATACACACAGCTTCGTAAACCAGCTTTACTTGGCATTGAAATATTTAAAATTTTTCTTTTGGCTAGAAAAGAAGTTGCGGCGGGGCAAAGCAATATCGGAATATGTATTTGGGTTTAAATTCACGTCCTTAAAGAAAAAAAAAAAAATTCAGAAAAATTTTCTGAATCGTTCCTTTTGGTTTTCTGGGTATTCTAAGCGAATTCCTGCTACACCAGAATGACTCCCGTTGCAACTGCAACGTACCACAACGACAAAACTAAAAACGACGCCACAACTCACTGCAGCAACCGCAAATGCAAGCAAAAAAAATCGGTCATTAATTTTATATGAACAAGGCAAACATTAAATGGAAAAGTGTTTTTTTGCCGTTGCCATTTTTCGCCCCTCATTCACTTACGGTATTACGCTTTTATGAGATGCGCTTGGAAAATGGCAACACAAACCAAAGCAAAAAAAGTTAAATATTCAAATAAATAAAAAAAAGTATAGGCAACAAAATAATGGCGGCAATGAATTTTCGCACCTACAACAAAAGTGGCGTAATATAAGTAAAAAAAAAAAACGTTGTAAAATATAAATGCACGAAGTTGGTTGTTTAAAGGTGTTGTTGGTGTTGCGCACATTCGCTTAATGTGTATGCGCACACAATAGGTAACGTGGGAATTTATTGCATGCTTTTAGGCGAACTAGCATGCGCGCGCGCACTTTTGATTTACGTGCACTCAACTAAGTCACAATATTTTTCTTGCATTTAACTGGAATAATTAATTGCTTTCATGGGTAGTAGAATGGCATTCATACATATAAAATTCATTTGAGTAAAAATAAGTCTCAATTAAGTCAAGAAAAGTGTCCAATCTTTTCTTCATTATACACTTTTTAAGTAAAACTGCTTTGAGGTTGAGTTTTTACTCAAAATGTTTGAACATTTAATAGCAGTGAGTGCCTAAAAAGATGCAACGGATATGCGTACATATATGCACTTCTCAAATACCACCAGTTTTTATTCAAATAAACAAGTCGGTGGCTTCTCAAATTATGCTCATATCGCCCGGTCGATCTTATGGCGCTCAGTATGACTTACAACTGCAAAGGATATATCCCAATTCCTTAGCTAACAAATCTCTTCAACAAGAATTTTTTACTTTTCTATCAAATTTTAGACTATGCCTCTATATATATAACACCTATTCAGCACATATATGAGCAAATAGCGCGAGTTCTTTTCTTTTTAGTATCACTCTCCTTCTCGCTGGAAAAGACGCTAAGGCATTCTTCTTGCATTTATTTCAATCAATGGAGCTCCAGAAACAAGTGCCAATAAGAAATATATCAAGTATTTGAACAGTTTTTGCCTTAAAACGTTTATTCGGTCGAAAAAGTACCGAAATTATCCAGTTTTTCATTGCCACTAGAAAAAATCATAATTGTTTTTTTTTTAATAACTTTGGGAAGTTTTCAAATAGAATGTTCGTATTAGAGGCAATGAAAGTTGGCATCAAGTACAGCATATCTGTGAAGTTCCAAGAGTGTGCCACCAAAATGAACAAAATAGCAGCACACAGCTGTTTTGTAATTTTTGAATATTTTTATTTTAAATATTTAAGATACTTCAAAATGTCAACGTTAAACGGTGAAAATGTTCTTCTTGCCAAAACAAACCAATCTGAGTAATAAAACTAGTGTGCCGCCAAAAAATTTATTTTTTCAATTCTTTATTCTGAAATTTTTAATTTATTCTGAAATTGTTATATACATGAAAGAATTGATATATAAATACGTGAAAAATAATGTAGAAAAATATTCCACGCCAATATTTAATTACTTTTAAATAATATGAGTTTTAACTTAAGGCGTGCGAGTAAACGTATTAGCTGACTGTGTATGTTGCTGCCGGGCGTATACGTTACATACACAACTACGGGTACATGAGCACGAGGTGTTATTTGGACTTTTTTAGAATATCTTTTTTAAGTTTTCATTTAAAAATAATTTCGCAATGGAATCATGTTTTTTTCGAAAAATTTAACAACTTGGGAGATTTGCTCATATACATATGCATTTACTTGTGGCATAATTTATACAATTCTGCAAAGTCATAATATAAATTTGTTTTCCTCTTACAGGGTGTCGTTGCCTTCAGCTCGCAAGGCGATCGTATTGCCTTAACACAAATCGAACAAATGGCGAATGGAAAATATGAAAAATTGGGTTATTACGACACACAATTGGATAATTTAACCTGGTTAAATATGGAACAATGGAGTGGAGGAAAGGTAAGAATAAGAATAAGAAAATCAACAATAAAATAACACTGAAAAGAAAATAATACGGACCCAAAAATTTTTAATGCCAATGTAATGAAACTTGGTTATACTTGGCTTTTTCCATTAAATTAGAATTCAGGTTGTAAAACCTTTCGGAATGTACAAATTGAAATCACTTTTAGGTCAAAGAGCAAAAAATGTTTAAATGATATTGAAAATTTCAATAACCAAAAACGAAGAAAAGAAATCCATAGCCCACCTTCGATCACGGCGATAGTAACTATATCTTCTAAATCAGTTTTAATGAATCTCATAAACACTCAAAGAATTTTAAACCCACTTTCTCTACAAAGCTCATTCGCGCTACTCAAAGTACCTACAATGCCTTCTCTCACACTGACTCATTTTAAATTCAGATAATGAAATACTTAACTCGCTGAATTAACAGCTCAACGTACACTTAAACTCAATCGCATCTGTGTATGTATGTATATGATATTTAAATGTAAGCGTCCGTGACTCACACGTACTTGAATATTTAAGAAAATTATTCAAATGAGCCTTCACTTCAATGCACTGCGCTGTCAATCAAAGGCGGGGGCGGCCAGTCAGGTCACACCACTGCAACTCGCTTGCACGCCCATTGAACTTGAGCAGCAGGCAGGTGATAAAATGCATCTCACAGGAAAAAAATAAACCAAGAAAACAACAACTCAAATACCTATGTACATATGTACATAAGTGACTATGCAAAAGTGAGTGGTGTGGTGCTTTATAAAGCTTTTTTACTGGCGACTGCTCTTGATTTGCTGATGGAAGTGCTTGAGAATAAATCATTGCCTTTTTGGATGGACTACATAGAACTGCGACAAAGCGGCCACAAATGGGAACACCGAAATCAAATGCACAGCGAGCTGGTAGGCAATGAGGCGAAATGAATGAAAACAACAAATATTGCACATACATATGTACAAGGATATTACACAGATGCAGCGATGTGACGACAAGGGTTTGAGTAACTTGAAAAGCATAGAAGCGTATTCGTGAAAGCGAAGGATTATTTGATTTCGAGCGGCAAATGGATGTGAAAAGTGCACTTTGCCAAGCGCCAGTGAGCTTTGAATTGAATTCGCAACACCAACGCCAACGTAAACGCCTACACTGGCAAATATATATACGAATATCTGCTGTGCTGTGTGGGTTTTAGTCAGCCACTCACTTTTTTTCTTGCACTCACATTTATCTATTCGGTATTCGTTCGACATTTTAATAGCCAGGTGGAGTTAGACAGTCACAGAGCCAGTTATCTTTGGTTAGTTAAAGATACGGACGGACAGTTGTTGAAAGGTTCATTTGTACCTGTGTGTGTGTGTGTGTGTGTGTGTAGGAAGCGATTTCGAAGTGTGGCGAATGAAAATTGATTACTCTCATGCACAACACTCACTTTCACAGACCCAAACACACGGGCATGGGAGAATGGGTCGGCGGTCACCTAGCTATGCCGCAGTTATTTGAAATTGATTGCTGGCTGCTAAGCGTTTCAAGTGTGCAGCTGCAATCCGCAAGAAGTATTTTTAAATATAAATTTTTTTCTCACTGAGCACACTTGTTCATGGCACTCAGCATAGGTGTGAGCAATTTGCATAGTTTCGAATACGGACTCGGATTTGAATTCAGATTTGTGTTACTGGACGAAAAAAAAAATGCTGTTGCATTAAGTACGCTTCGATTGTGGCATGTTGGGCGCAGTCGAGTGTGAATGATATATTCACGGTGAAAATGGTGCAAATTGCATTTTGAAGAAGTTAGAGGAGGAGTGCGGCAGCAATGAGTGAAATACCTTGTACAGATCAACTAAGGGCTCTTAAGCTGGAATTGTTTTGTAGAAATGAAATGGGATGTTTTTCTAATCTGTTGTTTGGCAAAAATAAAAATGAAATTCATGCCGACAATTTTATTTTTTAGGCATTCATAAAAAATAGAAAATAAGATTACATAAATGCAGATACGGTGGCGAGAAGGTAATAGGGAAAAGACCTCTTAGCTTGTTTTGGCTAATTTTCTTTGTTGAAAAATTTAACTTGCTCTGTATGTATGTATGCAAGTACATATGTTTGTTAGGGGCAAATTTTGCAATCGATTTCCCGATGACCTAGACAATTGAAACTTCACAGTTGGCTCAGAACCCGATGACAACGCAATTCGAAAGCTGAGTTAATCCGATAGTTGGCGCAGGAGTCTAGATATTTGAAAACCCCGTATTTATGTATAGTCAAATTTCGTTCATATATAGAACGTACATTGAAAAGGAATAACTCTACGTAAAATTTTGCCGGTAGGTGTCGCATGAAGCGATGTATTTGGTAAACCAGTATTTATGGTTCGATTTCATTCGTATTTAGGAAGCTTGCTTTAAAAATATTTCTTTTTACTATTTTTTTATTTATATATACACATATAGCTTACTATCTAAAAAAATATTTGAATCAAACTTTCAAACATTGTAGAACATTTTTAAAAATTCTACGAATTTTAACAAATTTAGATAAAAGCTTTAAACTTTTTAATCAGTTTTTTTTTTTTAAGAATTTTTCTAAGCATGCAAGTGCAAGTTTGAAGTAGCTAGGACTTACCGTATGCTCGACAATTTTTTGTATGGAGAAAATGAGCAACACCTTCCACAAAAACGATTGCCAAAAATCAACAACGGTAATTTCCAAATACTTAAAGTTTGCACTTTTTTATTCTAAAATTGAATTGGCTACAAAACTGCGTTCTCAGAATGTTTTTAAGAAGCTAAAAATTTTGAATTGCCGAATTTTGCTAATTTTTGTACATAGTTCTACATCATGATTTATATTTTCACTACTGTATGTATGTACATATATGTATCTAAAAATAAACCCAAAAAACTCCCGGGCATTCTCCAATAAAGCGTCAAATGTCCCGAAAAATCCCTAAAGCTCAGTAAATAAAACCCGAAAAGCCCCAACAAATACTGGAAGAACCCTAAAAACATCTAAATAGTCCTATAAGTCCTGAAAAAAAGCAAGAAATGTTTAAAAAAAAATCGGGAATCAACTGTGATTGAGACGAAATCCCAAAAAAAAACTCTCCAAATCACCAAAAATAAAATTATCGGTGCTTAAAAGTGAAAAATAGAGAAACTGAAATAACCTCGAAAAAAGCACCTGAATTAAATTCGTCATATTTAATACAAGCGCCTTTTGGTTGTAACTGACCCCACGCTTTAAAACTGGAGAGTTCTCACAAGAAGCTATTACAAGCATTTGCAAAAGTTTTAAGTTTTTAAAAGTTTTAAAAATAAAAATCAAATTTTCAGACTCAAAAAATCTCACAAGAGTATTTCTCAAATCCTTACAATAACTCTAACTGAAGCATTAAAAAATTGTGAAAAACTTTGGTTATTTCTTTAACTTTCACTATTTCCCGTTCCCACAATAAAACTAAGAAAAAACTTTGCTTGCATTCCAACTCTCTGCGCATTCATTAAAAACTTCCTGCTCTCGAGCATTCCATGTCACAAGTACGTTGCAATTAATCGTTGCTCTTTTGCTCTGCTACACTTTTACTCAAGTTAAGGTTTGCTACCCTGCCCCACGTATCATTCTACCCACACCTATCAACCACTGGCTTGCCTTGCCACACAGCATCAATGACAGTTCGATTGCCTTAATTACTGATGAAGTTGTTCCACTTGCTACACAACTCTCTGCTGGCAGTTGCATATTTGAATATTACATAACCTCAGTTACCTCAGCGACTTTCTTGTTCACTCGCTTGCTTGCTTGCTTGCTGCCTTTGATTCGATCTTACTTTCCCCTTTGCAGTTTGCTTGTAGTTTGACATCTGCATGGCATTGCAGCAGTTAAATTGCTTTCGCTTGTAATTTTTCCGAATGCTAATTTTGCGGAATGCCAATTTGTGCCAATTCGTTTTCTTCTGCTTCTTTCGTTTTGTTTGCACTTTTCCAGTGAAATTTTTTCTTTAATGGCAAAAGTCAGAAGGATTGATTGATTTTGCTTGCAGCATAAGATTCGTTGTATGTACTTACTTTTTGCTTTAAAAGCATGGAATTTAGCGTCGGGCTATGCGCTTTTTTCAGACTCAAAAAGGAGTTCAAGTTTGTCATTTGAAAAAATTCTTAAGTTTTGGGAAAATGCAAATTTGCTTTCTGAGGGCATTTGTCTGCAATAGGCTTGGGTAGTTCTTGAACTAAATGAACTAGTTAATTTCAATGGACTTCTTCACTAGCTGGGTATTTTCATTGACCTAAATTTGTCGCTACTACTATTTCTCATCGCTTAATCTTTAATTTTATTTATCCGAAAACATATTTAACTATGTACGTTTTTTATGTAAGTATGTAAATTCAAATTACCAAAGTTTTTGTTTGGTATGTAATACATTTGTATGTATAATAGTAATATGAGTGGAATATCGACCCAGCTCAGCAGAAAGCTCGAAAATACCCTATCTCAGAAAACTTTTCAAGAACGCCTTTTTCAGAATTTGGTTTAAAAACTATCTCAACTGAAAATATATTGAAAATATGTTGAGATTTCGTTTTCGAACTGGCTGCCAAGATAGGTCGATCTCCCACTCAGGTGTCGATGTGTAAATATATTCGTCAATTGAACTATTTAAATGAACTATATGAACTAAAGAACTAATTCACTAAGGTATACTAAATATATTACAAAAATCTTTGATGTAAAAAATTGACTCGCTTAAGTAAATATACATACATAAACACATAATTAAAAATATGTACATATCGTCCCGTTTCTGCATTAACCACGTATCTACAATTTTTGGGAAAACTAATATTACCACTTATAACAGCTGTTTAAGCGTCACACTATTTGAAAATAGTGCAAACACTTAATGAGGGTGCTCATTACTGTTAGTGGAACCAGAAATACTAAGTAAAAATGCGTTTATTGTATCCTAGGAGAAGAAATTAAATATTTTGTCTTACACTTTCTAAAATACCTCTATTGCAGATACGAGGTTAAGGCAGAAATGGGACGATATGTATACATACAATAAAAGTTGGCTCTTTATTTCCGGGCTGGGACGTGTCCCGTCGTGCTAAAATTCTTAACGTGCGGGCTCGTGCGTGTTTTTGAAAGTTAATTTTGCACTCGTGCCGGGCCGGGCCTGAAAATTTAGGCCCGTGCCCATCTCTACCTGGAAGTATTTGCCAATTGTAATGTTACGTATACGCCCGGTATATTTGAATTATTAACTAGTGTAGAGACAAATAAAGCGTTAGGTATAGGTCTCAGGTTAAAAATGAATAAATTTCCAGCCAAAAGCTAAATATCGATGATCCTCTGCATTGACGACACAATTCAAAATTCAAAAAATAAAAACTTCTACTGTTAAGTGTCTCATGTCTCTAATATTTGCCTAATCCATGTCTAATCTTATTTCTGTACATTTTTGAGATAATCAAAAATATTTATGAAAATTAGAAATAGAAAGAAATGGACGATTTCGTGAATGGCAGTGGAAAGGGGGAGTGGGAGTGGGCGAATTCTGCATTCCAGCCACAGCGTAGTGAGTGCAGGCCGATTTCAAAAGGAGGTTAGCTGAGAACTACAGATTTTCTGGATTTTATTTTAAACTGTTTTTTTTTTGTATTCTCGTCAAAAAAAATAATTTTTAATCTTTTTTCTGACCTCCGACAATCCGACAAAAAGGCCACACTCTTCCAGCGTTCTGACTTCGGACTGCTTTAGCATTAATTTGTATTTCACTAATAAACTAATTATTTCTGTTGTTGAAAGCAAAGAAGAAAAAACGACCAAGTAATTTAAAAAAAAAAAACAAAACCGACTTCAATATAATAAATAAATAAATACTTTGAAATTTCCATTTCTAAATTTTCTTTCATTAATTTACAGGTACCTCAGGATCGCACAATTGTACGACGCGTCTTACGCAATGTATCGCTGCCATTATTTGTCTGTATGTGTACAATTTCAAGTTGTGGTATATTAGTAGCCTTAGCACTTATTGTATTCAACATATGGAATAAGCATAGAAGGTGAGTAAATTTACCAAAAAAAAAAAAGGTCTTTTGTATATATGTATGTATACAAGTCTCCTTCTAAACAGCTTAACCAATTCCTGCGAATTTTGCTATTTGTACATACAAGATCACCTGAATGACACTGTAGTTGATATTCGGAGGTAGGCACTTGCAGTGTTACCAATTAAGAAATGCTGCGTTAAATGTTTTTTTTTTTTTTTTATTAAAAATAATAAGTTCATCATAAAAACCATTCGAATTTTAAGGAAAGTGCAAAGCGATAATAGGACGATATTTTCCAAACTGAAATGTTGCATTTATCCCCTTGCCTGTTGGTTGCTTCGTTGCATATTTTTGAAATGCAATTGTGTTGCAACATTATTGACAAGAATTGAAAATGTTGCACAGAAAGTAAAAGCACAATATTGCTGCGGACACTAATTTTGCGTTTCTTTTGAGAAGTGAAAAGATCACAGCTCAGAAATTTGAT